GCAACTGCACTGCAACGGGGCCCTGCGGGACGGCCAGCTGGCCGGGCCGCGCGCCGGCGTCTCCAAGCGGCACCTGCGGGGCGACCAGATCACGTGGATCGGGGGCAACGAGGAGGGCTGCGAGGCCATCAGCTTCCTCCTGTCCCTCATCGACCGGCTGGTCCTGTACTGCGGGAGCCGGCTGGGCAAATACTACGTCAAGGAGAGGTCCAAGGTAGGACGCGCGCGGGCGCCCTGCCGCAGCTCAGCCCGCGGGGACCGGGGGCGTTCGGGGTCCGCGGTGTGTCGCCTTCGCAGGGCTGCGAGCGAACTTGGTTTTTTTGGTCAAGAAGTCAGTCTGATTTGTCTCTCCTCCCTTCTCCTCCTCCCCCGCGCCCAGCTCCTCTGAACGAAAAGTCCACGTAAAGGGTCTCAGGTGTATCGCTGTAATGACCTTCTGTTGACTTTGAAATATTGACTTTGGTGGGTGGTGAAAACCGTACAAGCTGTGGCTTTGGTCCTATTTTAAGACACAGAGGTTCCCAAGAACCCAAACGAAGGAAAGAATGTTAGAAATATTGTGAATGATCTAAGACCCACCTGCACTCGTGATCTTAAATAGATGCCTACTTTAACACCACCTAATTATGCCCTTCATTGTGGTCCCAAGGGATTTATTTCTACAAAAGCCCTCAAATCGGGAGGCAGTTGTGAGTTTTGCAGTGTGGCAATTGGCGTGTGGAGTTTGGCAGGTGTGGGAAGGAAGAGTTTGACGTGTGGACGGGTAAAAACTCCACGTCTGAGTGCTGACATTGACTTGGACCTAGGACACTGTCAGACCATCTGCTTGACTGAAAATTCTTGCCTAGGGTGAGCCCTACACAACCACATTCCTCTTCCTATCAATTGATGGCAAAAGCCACTCAAAACAACTTTACTAGTGCTCAAGACAGAGTAGCCAAGCATCTCTGAAAAGAAACCATGTTTTTGTTCCCATAGCAGGAATTGACTCTCCAGAAGGTAATTTGTCTTGGAAACCTTTCCAGGTAGATTGGCAGAAATAGGGGAGCATGTAGGTACTGTGATGTTGGTGAGTGCAGACTCCTTTGGGGTGGCCTTATTCCATTTTTCTTCAAGTTTCCAGTGGTTTTCTGAGTGATTTTCAGTTTTCTAGTGGTTTCCAGTTTTCCAGTAGCTTTCTGAGTGATTTGCATTTGTATTGTGGTCTCAGAACTATGGAAAACTTTCACTATGGAAACTCAAAAACTAGCGAGAGGGGGAGGATGAGCACTCGTACCACTCTTTGACAATAAATGTATATCTCCAATCAAAGTTAATCCTGTGATGAACCATTGTTGTCTCACTTCTCCAATAAACTGAGAGGAACACTGTTAATGAAGGGCAAGTGGAAAAGATTGGAACTGTGTAGATGTGAAGGAGTTGAGTGGAGAGATATTCCTAACACTTGAGTTTAGAAGAAACTTGTAAAAGCTGGTAAGAAGCTGCCTGCTCCTCCAGGTTGACGCTACAAGCACCTCAGAAACACTGAGGTGCTCTACACCTCAAGCCAAGAGGATATAACTAGAATATCTGAAAGCCTTGCTATTAATACACATAAAGTCAATCTTAGTAGAAAAATGTTGCTTTCTCAGTTTTACTTTGATTTGGGATAAATTTAGTGTTAGCTTAACTTTGTGGAAAATAGATGTTCAAGTTCTTTACTCTTCTTCCATCATGTTGGTGGTGGATTAGAAAGGCATCTGTCTTTTGATTAGTTTGTTTTTTGCACTAAATGACCTACCTAGTCTGTCTCCTGGGATGGGGAAGGAGGAGCCGATTGGCCTCAGTGCTTCTGAGGTGCTTGTAGCTTCAACCTGGGGAAACAGATGGCTTCTTACCAGGTTTTACAAGTTTCTTCTAAGCTCAAGTGTTAGGAATAGTTCCCCAGCAGTCTAGGAACAGAATTTGCTCTGAGGGAGTTCAGAATTAATTGGTAGAAAGAGATCACTAACATATTGGAAAGTTAACTTTTTATTTAGCTTCGACTTAATGGATAGAGGTAGGGTCATTTAACTCAAATGGAATGAAAAGCACTATGTAAATCAGGGTAAAGAAAAAAAAAAATCTGTAGATATGATTCTTCAACTAGGGTTTATCTTCTAGGTGGAATAAATAACTTTTCAGGTGACCCTGTCAGAAAGGGACCGTGAGTTGAAAGGAGAAAATTCATCCTGTCCCATACCCAGATTTCCAGCTTCCTTTCAGCTAGGTTGGCACAAAGCTCTTTATTCCTGCCCTTTAGAAAAATCATCTCTAGATTGGATTATTCCCTGGTCTTTTAGAACCAAATGCAAACGTGGCTTGAGCAAACAATTAGTATGGTAAAAAAAATTTAAAGTTTGATTTGCGTGTATAGAGAAATCTCCTTAGTGATGTCTTGTGGCCTTGGGTCTTCTCTGAAGCTCATTATTGTAGTATTGTAGGAACACATTCCATTTCGACATGATTTCTATTAGTTTCACCTTAATATAACCCTGTGTTTTCTTCACTCACTTTTCTTCCCTCAACTGAGGTCCTTATTTTGTACTGCTTTCCAGAGCAGTGATTTAGACTGTTTCCTGCTGCATCCTTCAAGCAGGTTTTCAGAAAACGCTAAAATTTGGAAAGAATGTGTATATCTATTTTAATTTATTTGTAAGTTTTTGTTAAGGAAATTTCCAAATGTACATTAAAAAAAAAAACAGAGACTAATATAATGAGCTCCCATCACCCAATTTGAACAATTGCTTATATACACACCTATTATAAGACCCATTTTTAAAAGCTACTTTAAATTTCTTGAGGTTATGCGTCTATTCTAATTAAATACTTTTTGTTCTTTCCTGGACTTTGGAAGGTGATTGGTTAATGTACTATTGCCCTTTATCTCAGTGAAGCAGTAGTAAAGGCACAGGGAATACAACACTAATATATACTGGATCTAAAATTGAAGTTATGGAAGAATCCAGAAAGAAATATTAGATGGTCCCTCTCCCTGCCAAAAGAGTTGTTAGTGGTCAGAATTCATCTAGCTTATCTTTGTTGGAGAAAAATCCAGGGGTGCTGAGGACCCTGGGGGCTGGGGGGAAGCAATGTTTCCGATAATGTACAGCAGGATGGCGCCCCCTAACTTCAAGCATGATCATTGCTTTTGGGCTAGTAAAAGATGTGTTACTCCCTTTTGGAGATTGTAGCCTATATCCAAGATAAATATTGGTCATAATTTGCTCCTTTTTCTTTGGCTGCCTACGTCTTGAAAATGGCTGCGTTCCAGAGCAAGTATAATTTATAGAACCCAAAGTCCCTCTACTTGAAGTGGCTCACTGCAGACTCACTAGTTAGTGATTCGAATAATAAAAACTACTTTTTATTGAGTAGTTTGCTCTGTCTGGCACTGTGCTAGGCGCTTTGCAGTACCATCTTACTTGACCTTCAGAGCCACCATCTTAAACAAACTCAGCGATTAAATAATGTGCCCCAAGTCTCAACATCAGTGGTAAGAAGCAGTTTATAATAGGGGTCAGGGGCTTTTTAGACTTGGAGTTATTAACTTTGTGGCCTTAGGCAAGTTAGTTAGTTCTCACCAAGTGTAAGATGTGGGATAACAATACCTTAAAGCTTGTGGGGGGAAAGGACATTAAATAAGACCGTGTACATAGATTTCTTAGCAGAATTTTGAGGCTTCATCAAAATTCTAGTGCTCCAAGGGGGAGATTTGGGATTCTAACGCAGATCCATCTGACTTCAGAGACTGTGTTCTTACTTATGTTTCTCTCTTACTTTCATCCTTTCATTTACTCAACAAGTGTTTATGGAGTGGTCACTCTGTGTGGGGTACTCTGCAGGTGTGCGATGCATTGATGAGGAAGGTTACAGTCATTATACTTTTTTTTTGTCTTACTCTGTCACTCAGGTTGGAGTGCAGTGGCACGCTCACAGCCAAACCGCAGCCTCTAACTGCTGAGCTCAGGTGATCCTTCCGCCTCAGCCTCCCAAGTAGCTGGAACCTCAAGTGTATGCCACCATGCCTGGCTAATTTTTTTATTTATTGTAGAGATGAGGTGTCGCCATGTTGCCTAGGCTGGGCCTAGGCAGTCCTCTCGCCTCTACCTCCCAGAGTGCTGGGATTATAGGCCACTGTGCTCTGCCCACATTCACTATACTTATTTATTTTTTTTGAGTTGGAGTCTCACTCTGTTGCCCAGGCTGGAGTGCAGTGGTGCAGTGACATGCACACGGCCACCGTAGCCTTGAACTGTTGGGCTCAGGTGATCCTTCTGCCTCAGCCTTCTAAGTAGCCGGAACTACAGTTGTGTGCCACCATGCCCAGCTAATTTTTTTGATTTATTGTAGAGATGAAGTCTCACTAAGTTGCCCAGGCTGGTCTCGAATCCCTGGGTTAAGGCAGTCTTCTCACTTCCACCTCCCAAAGTGTTGGGATTACAGGCAGGAGTCACCGTGCTCGGCCAACATTCACTATACTTCTAAAAATATATAGATAGTTTATTGGGGTTAGGCTTGAAGATTTCAACACAGGAACATAGTTTCAAGTTGTCCTCAATATATACTTCCTCATGTAAACTTTTGAATTGTAGAATCCTCTACAATTAGTGCACACTTGACTAATTCTCAAGTTTAAAAAAAAAGCAAAACCCTCAGACATTGAAGTCGGTCAGTTGAGTACATTTGAAGAAGAAATGGAGTGCTGTGTTCATGTTTTCCTACTGTTATTTTTTAAAAAGTATTTATTAATAGGGTTTGTTGTTAGGATCCCCGACTGGAGTAACTCTGGACAACAGTGTTGAGAGGGTCACACCGTGAACACACAGAGCAGTCTTCCCCTGGAAATAATACAGAGGAATGATGAAACAGCAAAAAGTTTATGAATAAAAGAAAATGTGTCGCAAGGTAGTGTGTTTTTTCCTCTGCTGTTAAGCAGTAACTTTAAGCCCACCCTTCTCATGTTTATCATGGTTGCAGGCTAATTTAAGCAAAAAATGCGATAATGTATTGTAAAGATCAGGATATTTCTCAGGACCCAAGTACAGGTAATATAATCAGTGTTCTTAGAAGACTAGAGCCATGAACCAGGGACCAGAAGGTCCTGAACATCCAGGACAGCTGGTGTGTTCGTTCTTTCTCTGGAGCCTTACAGCCTTCATCATTGCTTCCCTGTTTGTGTTCATTATTTCTTCC